GGTTACGTTCTCACCGGCATTATTTTTGATGAAATATCGACCGATGATTCCACCGCCCACAATCTACACAAACCGTTATTTTTTCTGGATGAAATGGCAGCTCTTGAATCTCTTCAGGTCGTTCTTCGCCCCAACAGTATCAACACCAACAACCAGCCTTGAAATCTAACACAGAATAACTTTTGTCCATAGACAAAGACCAAATTCTATAAGTCCCCCATTATTCCCGTCCTGTTATATGCTGCGGAGGCATGGACTATGACATCATCTAATGAGTCGGCCTTAGGAGTGTTCGAGAGATRGTTTTACGGAAAATGAGTWCGATGAGCTGYACAAGATATACGRCGATATTGACATAGTTCAGCGAATCAAGAGACAGCGGCCATGTTCTCCGGATAGAAGAGAACACTCCAGCTTTGAAGGTTTTCGATTGAGTATTCGCTGATGAAAGCAGAGGAAGATGAAGACCTCCACTCCRTYGAAGAGATCAGCTGGAGAAGGAYCTGGCTASACAGAGATTCTCCAATTGGCGCCACACAGCGAAGAGGATGAACGACTGGCGCGCTGTTGTTAACATGGCTATAGCCGCGCAAGCGATGACTTCGTCAGACATATGCATATATGTACATAGTTTTAGGTAATAAAATATTTCTCGTACACATCCAAAGTCACATACTAAAGTCGTAAGGTACGAAACTGACGACGTAAATGATTATAATCCGTCAAATTGAAACGCAAGCGATGTCAAAATGCTTTAACCTTGGCAAAGGCTAACTAACGTTAAAAAATTTYAGGTCAGCGGCCATTTTTGTAATTCAACCTCAACGATGGCAAACRGTTATTACACTTAATTACCCTCATTTTACAAAGAATTTAAGCAACTTATCACTGTTTATATTATTATAATCAATAGAACTCGCCCACCACAACCAACCACTCGGTATCCAACGACTACAAAATCAAGTAAATATGCTCGACAGACAATRCTAAYCTTCCGWTTACATGTGGCATGAAAACGTGACTCAGAGMGGCTCGTYTATACTCGAATTAAAGATATRGGCGGCARATTGTTATYAYTTACGTACCACTCGAGACATAATGTCTGGCTTTAGTGAAACTAGACATCGTTTTTTGTGGAGGGTATTCGAGTTTATTTGCACTATATTGCTGCTCTTCTTACTTAAAGCTGATTTACTGGACACTTAAAAATTAAATCGGAAAGTTTAAACTGAAGCGCTAATTATTTGATAGCAATAAATATATAATACAGCAACAAAAAATATACCAGATAGAGACTATTTTTTACTTTTGTGAAGATTTTAAGGAAGGCATTAAGATAGTAACGAACCAGCCAAGTAATTTGATAGGATAAGGTAAGGTAGGGTACCCGGAGAACTATATAATGAATCATCTGCATCAACTCGTTGAAAATTGAGAGTTATGTGGAATTATATGATTCATACCTATCCTAAGGAATGCCATATCAAAAGGAGGCAGTTTCGAGTGTTTTTTTTCTAAACATTGAATTTAAGGAACATACATATGTATATGCTTTGTATACCTTAAAGTTCCAAGTAAGTCTGCATAAATGATGTGCAAGTTTCATTTTTGCGACAGCACTGCTCCTAAAAGYACTAGTMCGASTTYSTTGGTGTCATACGAGTGCTGTRWGGTTATRRKRAGCTCCAGAATGTAGTTATCGACAAATATTGTATATATCGAACGTTATAAGTGCATTGGCTTAATCTTCTTACAAGAGTGTGTTTGTAAAATTTACTGAATTCAAACGTGCTAAAATATTGTATTTGTTATTTGTATTGCGAACGTCTGCTCTTTGAAGAGTATTGAAAACATATTAAATAAAATCAACACAGTTAGTCTGAAATAGACGAGTCGACACGAAACTGGTGTACAGAATTTAGAATACGTCTGAGCGAACAGTTAACGGCAGTTAAACTTAAAAATTGTGTTAAAATTGAAAATAATAAATATTTTAGAAATAATTGAATAACTACATCATACAGAGGTATGCAACTTATCCAGCTGTCACTCTAACGAAAAATGTCAAAGCAGTGCCTGAAATTGTGCAAAATTAATTTTTAGTGAATACCGTTAGTTATCATTACTATTTGTGATAATATATGTATAAAGTATTGATTACACTGTTCAAAACCGGTTTTGAATGCATGTAAATTGATATCAAACGTCAAACAGGCTTTTGAATTTTGATATTGCCAGTGAGAATTCTTTCATCTACAAATTTTTCTACGTTTGTGCGAAATTTATCGCGAATTATAAGTATGAGTCGAGTTTAATCACATATTAGGCTGTGCAACAAAGTTTAAACAACTTTTTTCGATACGAAAAATTCAAACAAATAAGAAATAAATACCGTAGTATTATTCCGAAACAGTATCAGCATGACCAGTTTAGGAGTGAAATAAAAGAATTGAGATAAATAAATAGTATTCGCAGTCAGTTGTACTTACAAGCTATGTGCTCTAATAGTCCGAGCTGAACTGAATCTGAATGTTTCATTAACTTGAACAATAATCTACGCAAAAGTTCGTGAAGATGTCTTATCAAATACAAAAGTTTTGCATGCAAGGACTTGAGTTCACTTATTGGCGGTTCCGAGAAATGAGAAAATACTTCATAAGTAAAGGACGCGAGCAGAATTTCAGACCGATACTTCTAAAAGCGAAGAACTACTTCACGTAACAGACAGACTACGGCCAGGAGTATACTCAATTTGTCACGCTGTGAGCAAAAATACTAAAGCTTATTAATTTAAATTTCGCGCGAGAACCCATTCGTCGAATTATTTTTGACCTAGATTGGTATGACAATCTTATCTAAATAATAATCAGTGCTTACAAGTAATATTATTCAACAAAGAAGTTCCATTAAATTTTTGTATCCGGAATTGCATTTCTGGTGCCGAAACGTCCAGCAAGTGTTTTTAATTGTTACAAATTATTCAAAGAGGGTTGAGAACACGATGACGACGAACCAAGTCCAGGACGGAAATCAACATCAACTGATAATCAATRCGTCAATAAAATAAAGGAACTGGTGCTTATGAATCGACGATGAACAGTCAGAGATCTTACTTACTTGGAATATCGGAAGGATCTGAGAAAACCATTTTGGGTTTCAAAAATCACCCAATTTTTTTTTTTTTTTTTTTGAAAAATAGCGTCGCGTTACCGTCTATAAAACTATGATTCCAAACTACCAGATTGGCATGAAATGTATTATTACTGGTGATGAGTCTTGGATCTACGCTTACCACCCGGAGATAGACCATCAACGGGCGAATATCGTGGCAAAGGTGAGGCGAAGTAGAAAAAACTACCTCAAAGCAGGTCAAAAATCGAGGCATGTTGACACGGACAATTAACGATATTAAACGTGAATCTCTATCGCTATTGAAGGATATTCCAGAAATTGAATTTAACAACTGTTTCGAGGAGTGGAAAAAACGTTGTGTATTTCAGCCAATGGAGATTATTTTGTGTGGACGATGTAGATTTTGTAGAATAAATTAACAATTTTATGATTATAGTATAATCAAATATATCCTTCTGTAATCTATAGATGATGGAAAACGTAAATTTGACATCTTCGCTCAATGTGAACACAAGCTCTGAATTAACCCTGAATGACTGCAGTTCAAGGTAAATTCTTACAATTAACTTATTAATTTCGTCTCTAATCTTTGAAACATTCCTCTATGCTTCTTAGAACTTATCTAACTGCGAAGAAACAGCTTGATGACTGTCTCTTATACACATCTAGATGTGTATAAGAGACAGCTGCAGTTCAAGGTAAATTCTTACAATTAACTTATTAATTTCGTCTCTAATCTTTGAAACATTCCTCTATGCTTCTTAGAACTTATCTAACTGCGAAGAAACAGCTTGATGATGAATACAATCCAGAGCTTTATCGCGATGAAGTTAATGGTCAATCATCAGTTGGCGCTTTTGTGCATTTGCTTAAAGGTTCTTTAGGTTTCGGTATACTCTCCATGCCRATGGCTTTCTACAATGGTGGCTTGCTCTTCAGTATGGTTGCTACGCTGATCGTGGGCTTGCTTTGTACGCATTGTGTACATATTTTGGTAAGTAAATATACTTTTCCTAAGGAAATTAAGTAGTCTTTTCGAACAAAGCCTTTATTTTAACGACACTCAAAATCAAATTTGACTCGGATTTGCCTATTCAAACGGTGAGCGTAAACCAAATTGATAAAGATTTTTTTTTTCTCTTTAAAAAACCATTTTTTATGTTTATGTGTGGTAAAATATTGTTTAAATTGAAATATTTAAGAAAATCTTCACAAATTTTTAGTAGGCTCATGAATTCAAACCTATTTTATGATAGAGTTGCCAACTATCGTTGGATACATCTAAGAAAAATATTGCGAAATTGTTAAATGGAAGAAGTTAGTGAAAGTAGTTTTCAATTTCTCCGATTATAATTTTAGGAAATTTGGATATGAAGTTGCCACATAATAAAAAAAATTAAATTAAATTAAATAATTGTTATACATATGTACATATTTTGCATGCAAAAAGTAAAARGTTTTCATAGTTTTGCAGAAAGTGTTTTATTTAAAAATATTTTGAGAAAGAGTTACCACCTTACACACGTCTCTTAAAAATTAAAAAATTAAAGAGTAAAAAATTTTGCAGGAAGTAATTTGTTCAAAACTTCAAGAAAATTAAATTCATTAAAAATTATRATTTGCATGCGAAAAGTAAGAGGAGTACACATTTTTTCGGGAAGTAACTTTTTYAAAAATAATTTTGTGATAGAGTTGATAGAGTTGTCATCTAATGCTCGAAACTTTAACTAATCGAAAATTATAATTTGCCTGCAAAAATCAAGGGGATTACATAGTTTTGCTGAAAGTGATTTATTTAAAAGTATTATTTGAGATAGAGTTGCCAACTAATGCAAAAAACTTAAAATTAGCTCAAATTGTAATTTGTGTGCCAAAACTAAAAGTTCCAMAAAGTTTGAAGGGAAGTGCTATATTTAATTAAAGTTAGAGCTGCCAACTGTTAAAAAAACTTTAACTGAGCAAAATATTAAAAATTGTATAAAAATGTAAAATGTTTAGCTATATGTGTATCTTATACATAAACAATTATTCTTTCACGAAATATAACYGCGCGTAGAGTTGCCACCTATCGCAAATAAATTAATTTATTTAATTTTAGCTCTCAACTTATTTTCTAGTTATACTCTGAATAGCGCATACTTAATTTGTAGGTAAGTTCTTACTATTTTTATTTCTTTATTTTTATAGGTAAAAACCTCACAAAGCATTTGTCGAGATAATAAAATCTCGGCGCTGAGTTTTTCGGAAACCACCGAGAAGGTCTTCGAAGGTGGTCCAAAATGCCTACGTCCCTGGTCAGTCGTTGCAAAGTAAGTACAACTTTTGTACAATAACAAAAATTTACTTATTTATTGTAAATTTCAATTTCTCTCTTCTCACAGACGTCTCATTGATGGCGGATTGATGGCAGCCCATTTTGCGGCCGCGTGCGTTTACATGGTATTCATTGCCACAACAATTCACGACGTGATCAACTATGACACCGGTCTGAACCTGTCTCTTATACACATCTAGATGTGTATAAGAGACAGACATTGCCTATTAATTGGTCAGATAAGGAATTTAAAATGGCTAGTGCCCTTCTCAGCATTTGCGAATATATTCATTATGATCACATTCGGCATAGTGCTATACTATCTGTTCAGCGAGCCGTTGGTGTTCGCAGACAAACCGCTGATTGCGAGAACCGAACAGATACCACTCTACTTTGCCACAGCCATCTTCGCCATGGAGGGTATTGGTTCGGTTATGCCCATTGAGAATGCTATGCAGAAGCCGCAACAGTTCCTTGGCTGTCCTGGTGTGCTCAATAGCGCTATGATCTTTGTGGTGATATTCTACTCCGCCATCGGTTTTTTAGGCTATGCACGTTTTGGTAGTGAAGTGCGAGGCAGCATCACATTGAATTTGGTGGAGGGCACACCGTAAGTACGCAATCGAATGTTTACAAATCATTTATTATTTATTTTTTGCTTATTTAAATTAAATTTGAATTACTTTTGCTTAGTTTGGCTGACACTGCGAAACTGCTCATCGCTGTGGCTTCGCTCTTCACTTATGGTTTGATATTCTACGTACCGATTGATACGCTTTGGAAGAATATTAGCCATAAAATTAACGAAAAGAATCATAGCAGGGCTCAGTTACTGATACGCACGGCCATTATATTGATTAGTGGCGTTGTGGCCACAGTCATACCCAATCTGGAACCGTTCATCAGCCTTGTGGGCGCCATCTTTCTCTCATTACTCGGTACGTTAACCCGTTATACACTTTTCCTGAAATGTTTAAATAATTTTTTATTTATTAAATGTTATAAAATTGCAGGCTTTTTGGTGCCAAGTGTCTGTGAGACCGTTTATTTGTGGCCCGACCGTTTGGGCTTCTGGAAATGGAGGCTGTACAAAAATCTGCTCTTAAGTACCTTTGCGTTATGCGCGCTCKTTGCTGGCTCAGTAGCGAGTATAAATGAAATTATTAAAATATATCAGTGATGCACCATGTGTGTTTTTATGTTTAAGCATAAAATTATTCATATAACTATAAAGTAACCATATAACAATTATAATGAAAGTTTTGTAAGTACTAGAAAGTAACCAGACAGCAGCAATTCTTCGAAGTGTTAATTCGTTTTATGCTGTTGTTAAGTTATATTAWGCAGCTGTGATTAAAAATTATGAAAGCAAATTTCAAATGTTAAATTTATATTTAACCTAAGATTATTTATGTCACTAACATTAAAGCATGTTACCAAAAAAAAAAAGCTTAAGCTTTTGATTCAAAAATAAAAACTCAATACTTGTTCCAAGTAATAATAAATACATATGTTAAAAGCTTAGAATTTTAGCGTTGCCATTTTATGAAAATTAACCGGTAAGTATGGAGATATGCTAGCATTGACATTTTGAAAAATTTCTGTACCAAATGTCACATCAAAATAATCATTAGTGTTTAGTATACGCCCTGTCTCTCTGAAGTGCATAAGGTGCTTTCGGAAATTTTTACGATGAGTAAAATAATTCAGCAGAGAAGTTCCATTAAACTTTTCTTGTGAAATAAAATTTCTCCTGCCGGAACTTTCAGAATGTTGGTCATAATTATTTGTCACGAACAAGTGTTTTTGATTGGTACAAATTACTCAAAGAGGGTCGCATTGACGACGAACTACGTCCATGACGGCCATCAACATCAACTGATAATCAACATGTCAATAAAATAAAGGAATTTATGCTTGAGAATCGATGATTAATAGTCAGATATGTTACTGGCATCTTAGGAATATCGGAAGGATCATTAAAAACTATATTGAAAGATCATTTGGGCTTAAGGATTGTTGGCAAGATCATTCTTTTTTTGTCGCCTTAACGTCTGTGAAACAATGCTTTCTTCTTCGTGAGCTTTTCACCAAATTTTTAATCAACATCATTGTACTTTAAAAGCATGTCTTTCAGTTTTTAAGCCATATTTAGTGTTACTTACCTAACCACATGTAGTGTTTTTTCTTTCCTTAAAGATGTGTTTGAGTAGATTCGTTATTCAAATTCAGCTTCGATAGCTGATGCCTTTAGCTGAACGTAGCATAGTTTCAGGAACATATTTTTTTTTGTATGGCCTTCCCAAACTGTTGATTATTTTGTCTCAGTGCCATTTACGTTAATATTAGGTTGTCAAAAAAGTCTTGCGGTATTTTCGACTTGCGGTATTTTCGACTTGCGGTATTTTCGACTTGCGGTATTTTCGACTTGCGGTATTGGCGCTGAGAGCGTAGTTCTAGTTTTATTCGCCGCATCGGGTCATGCTATACCTTCTATACCTTTTTGGAAGGCTCATTTCACGCGCTAACATGTRTTTGATTGATTGTCGTTTCTTTTAAGTCGTTCATGAATTATAGCATCGCAAACATCGAGCAAAATAAAGAGAAAATACGGCATAATTTACAGTACCACTACGATAAAGGCAAAAATTCATCACAAGCCGCCAATAAAATTTGTGCAGTTTATGGACCCGATACAGTTACATATAATGGCGTTTTACTACTACTGAAAGAATTTAGAAGCACACCGCTGAAGCTAATAAAATCTTTATGAAAGAAGGAAGGCAAATTATATGCTCGAGAGAAATATTAATAAATATATTTATGTATGTCTTAGGATGGGTAAACAAATAAACGATTTTTTTTTTTTTTGTCGCTTAGTAAACTGAAAAATACGTCAGATACAGGTTGGATCCCTGGGGGGTTGCCTGTTGATATCCAGCGACTGCAATCATGTGATCGTCCACCATTTCTCCATTGCATTAGCTAAAASTACAAATATGAACAAATGTCCAAAAATTTATCAATTTCCGCGAGTACCAATGTTAGCTTGATCGGCAGAGAAAACGTCTGTTGAAAAACACGTATCTCTACCAAAGCTGCCAAAAGAGAGTTCTGAAACTGTGGCAAAAAATTAAATTGTGCGAGATCATATGCTCGAATTAGGTAAATACATAAAGAAGTTATTAAATATGATGAGTCTCCTACAGCGCTCTAGAAATAACCCTATGAGSGAACTCCTTARCAGTATCGCGAAGCTGCTTGCGATCACACAGAAGGACTACAGTCAGCTCAAAAACTSCTGTTCAAAAAATCATGTGTTACYKAGTGCTGGAGAAGTCATCGCTAAATATGATTTTTCGCAAAAAATCCGGATCGTTTTTAAGTTCAGCCCAATTCACGAACATATAGTAAGACGATTCTGGTGTTCAAGCGGCTTTAGTTCTTGCTTCAATKTGATCTTGTAAGGATGTAGACTAAGTTCCTTTCGCAAAATTTGYCACAACGACGTCACAGAGATGCCCAACGCTTGCGAACGACATGTGAGCGACTGATTTGGGTCTTCCGCAATCGATGCGCTAGCGGTAGCAATATTCTCGACACTACGGCCACTGCTTTATCTCACTGCCACGGAAACATTTTGTACTGTGCCTGTGGATTAAAATTTTTCCACTAGGCGCTGAAATTGTTGTTCTGACAGGACGATTATGACGACCATAAATTGGAYGTTGCGCTCTTAAACTTGATGCTACCCACTTCGAATTTCGGTAGTAAATTTAAATGATTTCAATCGTTGTTGGTTCATATACATATCTTTCCATGATGAAACGGCAAACATTACTGAAGAGAAATATCAAAAGCGCGTGAAAAGAGATGGCATCGTTTGCTGTCTCCATTAGTCTACTTTTTTTGGCCTTCTTATTGAAAACAYACATTAGAGGAAGATTTCCGGCATGGTTCTTAGAATTGGTGCAAATAAAAGCATAACTTAGCGAGTGCTTGCATTACTCAAAGCCTGCGGCCTACTCGTTATTGTGTTGCTAAATCTTACATATAATTAACACAAACAAAGCACATTCGTTTTGAAAGAGTTTTTAATTATATTTTCTTTTTTGTTTCGAACACACGTAATACAATGATTTTGTTTTAGTGCTACACTTAGAAAAAATACCTAATCAAATTTATTAAATATCGTTTCGCTCTTGTATCGGTATACATACAGGGTTGCTTATAATTAATATAATTAAATTATGAAATAATAATAGTATTATTTATAATATTAAACAACCATTAACTATGCACTTGGAAATGAATTTCAAGCGCAAAAATTAAAAAAATTAAAATAAAAACAACATTTACAAAATATTAACTACTAAGCGTCGTACACAAACGACGCAGTCAATCTTGTGTTCGTAAGTAGATCGCTAAAACACTGTTTTGCAAGCGTGATAGCGATAAACTATGTATGTGATAGCTAGTCGAAAATGACTTTTATAGTATATAACATTATGGTATTAGCATTACTAGTTAGGAATTTTGTTTAAGTAAATTTTATGTTGGCTTAAGTGCAATGCCGTTATATTTAATTTTAGTGCCATAAAGCAATACGAATACAATTTTATGCGCAAACTAGTAAATATTTTTAAATTACCAAATGTAATTTGAAAAAAATTCGAAATTTTTTTTTCATGCATAATTTTTTATAAGCTAAACACGTTATAAATTAAATTTAATTTAGTAATAAATATGTGTTTTAAAATTTAAAATTTTCAACGCTTTTTAGTTACAATAGTTTACATTTCAATACTACTACTAGCGATTGGCGAATTTTGCTCCACATAAATCAAGCCGAAATACTTTGCGTTTATTAAGTAATTTTAGCGTTATTTTCTAGACAGTTCTTTTCTAGACATTCATTTGTGCGGCAAATGCAATACTTTTTATGTACAAGCATATATTTTTATAAATAAATTTTAATTTCTATAATATTTACAAACATTTTCTTTAATAGTTATGTGCATTTTCTTACGTAAGTGCAGTTTTAAATCGTTAGGAATTGTGCTAGTTTAAATTTAATAAATTTATATTTTTAATTAAAATAGGATAATGTTTAATTTTTTTCAATAGTTTGTTCCTCCCCCTTCACATTTCGAATTTATGTGGTATTCAAAATGTGATAGACGTTCAAAATTGATCGCATGATCCACAATATGGGATCCGGATTTCAATATATTCAATAATGTTGTGATATGTATCACGATTCATTAATATTGCATACTAAAAGTTCAATTAATATTTATATGATCTTGAATCGATGTCAATATAAATTGCATGTGTAACAATTGCCATTGTGTAGGTATACTTTATTATTTTAGAACTGATTCATATAAG